TTTTTGATGCCGTTATTCTGCTTAAGTTCATTTTCTTTCTTTTTTTATTTATTGATTTTGCGGCAATCAAGGAAGATTGATTTGCAAGATTTGCATCAAAGACATAAAAAATAGTTCAGGAGGCTCAAAAAAAAACTATTTTTTAATGAAATAAAGGCTGTTTTCCTTACCTTTTCATTTCAGTAGCTGTTTCAATATAGGTACATCGGTCCTTGTAAGTAGATTCAATAAAATCTAATTGCTTTTTTAGAAAATAACATGTATGTATTATTGGCCGAAACGATGAAGAATTATGGGAACGTTTAAAAGAGGAAAAAGCATCAAATAACCGAGTATGAGTGGTAAGGGAACGGCAAAGAAAAGTCCATATATGAGTGTTCCAGCATTTAGAGGTGTTTGGATTCCAAAGTTTAAAATTTATCAGATTATTTGAGGAAATTGTGCAGCTGTGCAAAAATTTTTATAGAAAAATTAAAAATACTGAAAACGAAAAATTACAAATTGAAAAATTAAGGCTGTTAAAATTCCACAGTTATATATATATTACGATGAAAAAATTTTACACTAAACAAAAAAAAAGTGTCATTATTCAAAAAAAGAAAAATTTTTAGAGTAATTTATTTGTGAGATCACAAAAGGTTATTGTAATCTTTCGCTATAGAATAGTGTTAAATATTTGTGGTAACCAAAAAGAAGTTCAGTAATCAAGGAAACAGTTTCTTTTTACAAATTTTTACATCATTTGGAAAGTGGTGTTCAATAAGTGTAATAACAGTTCACGCACGTTTCAAAATGTATAAATTTTACACCAAAACATTTTGGTACAGTTTAGTGTTTGTCAAGGTCTGAGTTTTACTCCAAGGATCATTTAAGACGATTAAAACATTATCAATAGTCCAAAATCTGTTACGAAGAAAAGAAATACTCGTAAACTTTAGAAACGTATGTCAAAAACCAAAGCCAATGAAAAAGTTAGCAAATTTTCCTATGACTTTTTTTCTATTTAGTCTTCATTATTATTGCTTTCAGATCAGATACAGATAAATAAATTTTTTTGTATTAACACCGTCCAAAAATGTCCTAAAACTGTCCCGAAACGCTTTAAAAGATTAACAGTTGAAGATGATTTGTTTTGTATTGATGTCCCAATTATTTTCTTACAGCCCTATAAAGTTTTTACCGCACCAACACAATTTCTCCATATGTGCATCGAAAAAAATGAATGATTAGATATATTTTCGACTGCAACTTTTCGTATTCATTCAGTTTAACATTATTAGGCTGTTTACCTTTAAGTTTTCAATAATTTATTTCTTTCAAATGTAACATAGTGAACAAATTATGCGTATTTATTTTCTATAAATTCCGCTCGGACCTGTTTCAATTGGAGTCCACTTGTGATTAATGCAGAGTCTTGTGAAAACCAAAATGAAAACAAAATAATATCTTAATATATGCCTGATCGTAATGCTGTATTTCTCCAAATCGTTTTGACACTGTTTACTGCCTTTCATCCTGTTGAAATTTTAAAGGACGAACAAGGCGGTAAATTTAAGGATGTATCAGTAACACATAAAAAAAGGATTATTACGGAGGATAAGCCGTATTGGTAAATGATGTTAGAAATTAAAATTATTGAAAATCCGAGTGGTCAACACATGATAATAAATGACGAAAGAGCGAGTGTTATGAACAATTATAATGAAAATTTGGTGATTGGATGTGACCGGTTTCTGAATCAATAACTTTCAAAGTTAACGTTCGCTAATCCTGCTTTTTTTTTTTACATATATAACTTCTCGTACACAACCATTAAATGTTTATTACTGACAGTTTTATTTCTTGACCATGAGTTTACACCAAGCAGTGCAAGTTCCCATCAAGTTTTCTTATTTGTAAAAAAAATAAGCTAATTGTAGCGTAGACCACTGTCACCTAAAACGCAAAAACTGACTCTGAACTTGAATGGGAAGATTATATTTGAGCTGCTGCAGAAGTAAGAAGAAGCATAGGAAAAAGCCAAAAAAAAAACCCTTGCTAATAGCGGCAAACATGGTAGGTAAAACATATCTGGCTTTCCTGTCTCTTCATTGCCTTCTTCCTCTTCCTCACCCGCCTTTACCTTCTCCACTATCTCAAATCTTTAATTTTTTTTATGTAATACCAAAAAACGCCTTAGCCTTAGGAATAGAGGAGAGTTATTACTAAGCAAAAAAGAAAGCAAAAATAGATGCCGTGAATAAGGCTATATACATGACTGTCATAATACAGATTTGCCAGTGAATTATCAAAACAGCGATTATAGTAGTGTTGATTAAAAGCTTATTTCCAGCTTAAACTTCTGTAACTCATCTTTTTTTCTAATGCTGCTAGAACTTTTATAATACTTCCTTTTTTTGAAAACCTGTAAAATTTAACGAGCAAGATAGGAATTAAGTGACGACTTTGCTGAACGCTCTCAAATAATGCTTTCTGTATTCGGACCAAGGGTATTAACTAGAAGGCATAAACAGCTTAAAAATCTTTAAATAAGTCATTAATCGGTCGCCCATGGTCATCCTTTTTAATAATGAGAAGAAAAAACAAAACAAGTTTCAGCCATTTTGTGAAATGGATTGGGATTTGAAACAAATGACATTACGAAGTAAAACACTTCAGTTCCCTTGTTGAAAAATTAATGCTTGAGAACCAAAGAGAATCTCCTAATTTACCATCGCATAGAATTTGTCATCTTAGCGGTTCATAATCTCACAGTTGACAGCCTAGGCATTAAAAAACGAAACTGTAAAAACAGTACCCAAGTAATTAATTCTTTTGAAAAAAGTTTCTAAAACTAAAGAGCCAAACTTATAATGTTTTAGGAAAATAACAGTTTTTATATTCACCACTTGTACTGTTTTTCTGGCACACTTCTGGCAGATCGGCAAACACTTCAAGTAAATGAAACTTAGCAAGGTAAATGAGGAATATTTCCTAAAACTACCAGTAAGCAGATTCGAAAAAAAATAAGCAGAAGCATTTTTACTCCCAGTAAAATTTAATTTAGAAATTGCATAAACGCTTTTTCCAGAATTATTTGCTTAACGGCGGTTCAGATATACTTTTGTAAGTAACCGTGTTTTTATTGTTTTGTCACCCCATTTCCGAGAGTCCTCCTAAAACGGCAAGTAAATATGGGAAAGCGCAAATCTCAAACAAATGTCTAATTCGGCTTAAAATCATAATTTCCACTTCATTAAAATCGAGTTTCTTTGCCGTGTTGTGAGCATTTTCTGGACATTTTATAAAGTGGGAAGGCTAAAAGAAACAATGAGAAGATATAGTAGACGTAATAGAAATTTCCGCTATATAAGCTGCTAAAAATTATTGACAGAGCATCATGCAAAATTCAGTTACCCATATCCTGCTAGAAAGTACATTAAAGAGAGGCAACAACAAACTCAAAATTATGTACAGAAAAGTTAAATTTAGACAAACTCGCCAATATTCTGGAGACACTGGCCTACTAGAAACTGACAATTTTATCTAACTTTTATCCAACGTCTTTGATCAGTTCAAGTTACAAATGATAACTGCGCATAAACAACTAATTGAGCAATACTGACAACATAATACAACATAACCAACAAGTAGTACCAATATAGCTTTAAAAATAATATGATAAATGGAAGGTAACAAATATCAGAGATTCAACAAAGTCTGAAACCCGTACTCCAAATCCATGCTACACAGCAACCTTTTGAGGTCAGAATAATCGATAGTTCTTCCATCTGTAGAACTCAAGCAGATTTCTTTAAAACTAGGTAATCTTATAAAATTTTTATCAACTGACTGTTCTCTGTGCCTTATAACTAGTTTTTTCCAACCGTATTTCACAATTATTTCCCAAAACTTTTGACAATTTTCCCTCGAACCTTCAACAATAATAATACCTGGCTTTCCAGAAACAAAAAAACCATTAAGCTCCAGCGATTTCCCCTGTGAAGCAATATTTTTCCGTTTCACTACGTTGTATATATGATGAGAGTAAATCCAAAGTCTCTCCCAAACCTGTGGTTCCGCAGTTACTGTGCTAGGAGTTTCCGTATTACAGCTTTCCTAAAAGGATTTTGTCTGCAGCTTTAAATTATTCCACTGTAAAAATGCCAAAGTAAACTTGCTGCTCACGGTTTCCCTTTTTCATATTAAGAGACAACTGCTTCCTGAACGCTGCTTCAACAGCATACAACTTGTGAGTTCAAAGCGGAAGTGCATACCATAAAACTTAAAGCATTGTCCTGGATCCACTGAATTATACTAAAAGTCATCGGTTCACCAAGGCTCAAATTCTCTACATAAACACGCAACTGCTTGTTCAGTTTAGTGGCATTAATCTCGTTAGACCGAATCAAAATCGAGGGTCGAGCATGTAGCGGATATAAATATGAGTATTGAAGAGCAACTTCAAGACTTAGATCTTGAACTTTCTGTAAAATGATTATTTTAGCTGTAACCAAAGACCCTGAGCCAAAAATCTTAACTTCTAACTTGATTTTTACCAAATAAGACTTTCAGTTAGCGACGAAATTGACACTTACAAGACGCAAATTAATCTGTACGTCACTGTTACCCTCTGAGGCGCAAGCGCAGTCAGAAATGCTGAGTTCTTCAGATCCATACATAGCGTTCAACAACAAAATTTCATCGTCAATTATTTGTTTACACGCCTCAATGCTGCTTTCAGTCATGATTACAAACCCTATAAAAAATTTTTCAAATAATCTTGCTAGTTCGATTTGCTGTTTGAGACAAGGACTATCACTGTAAGCGGATTCTATTAGTTGTACCAAAAAACGAGCATTAACTTAGTAAGAAACTTTATCATTATTTGAAGATAATTTTTCCAATATAAACAAAGATTGTTATCGACCAATTACAACTAGCATTAAGACGAAGTCCTTGAAATACTACGATAGTAGCAAAATGCGTGTTACTAGTATTAGCCGATATACAGTTAGAATAGAAATATGCTACAACAGAAATAAACGCGAACAGTCTAGCTAATAAGATCCGAACTGTTTGTCTGGCGTTACACTAGTAGACTACGATTTGGTTCAAAGATATGACAACTTCATTAGACATAAGAATACAACGCATTCCTCAGTCTCTTCGCTAACTTAAATGGGCATTTAATTGTCGAATTTCCTTCATTTTGCTTTTGACTTACAAATCTAATGAGACAATTCAGCAAATTTAAACCAGTCTCTTTCCCCATCAAGGACTCAATTATGAGCTCTCTTTAACCGTCTCCTGACATCTCCCGACTGCGCCAACCTGATGATGGACGTCATAGGGCACGAACGCCTAGCAAACCTTCACCTCTTTAAGCAACTCGGAGGGTCAGAAAAGCTATTTTTTACGGTTCAACTGCTCGCTGAAAGTAATTCCAAAAAACTGTAGCTTTCTTCTGCTTCACTTGCCCCCTATTTTAATGAAGGGAGAGAACTGTGCCTGACTCTTATTACAACTGACTAAAAAAGCATATTTACGCCTTTGCTCCGCAAGGGTTATATCCTCGAAAACAGCAACATGCAACGGTACCCAACAAGTATATATCTTCCGTCGTCATCCAAAAAAATTTTAAAAGCTTTAATTAATACTACGAGTAGCAGTGGAATTCAAATTCTCTCCAAGCGGAAAAACGTTCCAAAGTATGGCGAAATTGCAAGCCGCTGATAGGTTGCACTCATTAGAAATTATTTTTGGGAATCTAGTTAAAGGCGCGCATCAGCGGAGAAGCGATTTTAAGGAGTATCAGATGCCAATGCAAAAGAGAACCAGTAGACGCGCCAAAAGTTAGAAGATTCCCCAGAGTACTGTGCGCCTGTCGGACGCTATTTGCCTCCTTCCGCAAATGCCGTTTTTGACTATGTATATTTTAGCTTCCCATAGGAATCTTTCTACAAAGCTATACGAATAATCGCATCGTGACTGACCTTCTAAAATGACAGAACCGCATAATGAAACGATCAAGTACTCGGACTGTAAGGGGGTCTGAGGGGACGGATTCCTGAACCAGATTTCTTCCAAAGTATCACTATCCAGGACAATTTTGGCTTAGGCAGTTGGAATAAGCGCTGGACGATGTTGGAACAATGCAGATTAGGTGATGTATGCAAACAAGCTTTACGGGATAAAACTGTTCAAGAAATTCAACATAGTTAAAAAAATTCTAATGGACTTTCAATAAAACCTATTACAATTTTTTGCAAAATGATTAGCCACATTTTACCGTTCTTTGAAATCAGTGTCCAAAGAAATCCTGGCTTGAATAGTGATTAACCGGTTGTTGTTAGCACATCTTCGGCTGAGTGGCAGAAAACCGATCTTATGCTAAGCGGTGACATCAATATTCAGTCCAGTAACAAATGTAAAAAAATTCGCTTCTATCGTAACTGGCTCTAAGATACAGACCTCCGTTAACTCACTTCCACAAATGTTATTTGAACATCAACATAAATAGGGGAATTTTTTGTAGACACTTTGATTAGTTCAAACTACTGCTGTCATTGGACTCCTTGAAGGTGAAAAACAACGAATGCAAAATTTTATGGCTCTGAATTTTATGGTAACTGTTTGTAGCATCAAAACATCTAAATATTTGAAAATATATTTGAAACCGTGACACTAAAATCGTAAAATTCAAAATTTTCTTAAACTGCTGTAACAGAAAATGGTCCAAAAAATACCACTCTTTAAATCGAATGCCTTTTTTAGATAAAGCAAGAATGACTATTCTTCATCAGGTTTTCACAACAAAAGAACAAAGAATACTACAAAATTTAAAAGCAATAACTAAAAAGGTAGTCAACTGACGTAATCTTTCAAAAAAAAAAAAAAAAAAAAAAAAAAAAAAAA